AGAAGGTTGTATATCTCCAGGCTAGCGGTCACACACAGTGGTCAGCATGATTGGTTTTAGGTGATTGGACCGCGTGTGGTCCAAAGTCGGGCGAGATTAATTATGTCAGATTAACTAGATTTTCATTCGTCGGTTACAATAAAACAGATGGTCCCTTCCACAGATTATATTTACACATGGGAAGATAACGAATCTTTGTTTCTGGTATTTCTGATGTACGTCATCGACGTAAAAAAACGACATAATTGTTTCGTAGTTCGATCTACCCTTGTAGCTGATGATGACATTATGAATTAATACAAGTTGGAATTAAGATAAAGTGACGGACAATTTGAGGGAACCACTTGAGTGACTTGGGTATAATGCTGTTTTAAACAATGTTGCAGTTACATGACGGCGCGTCAGATTCTGTAGTAGCATCGGGTCAGTTGACGCATGATCACAACAGAAATAATGAGGGAGTATGGTTTTACGCCGCTTTTAGCAATATTCCAGGAATATCACGGCGGGGGACACCGGAAATGGGCTTCACACATTGTACCCATGTGGGGAATCGAACCCGGGTCTTCCGCTTGACGAGCGAACGCTTTAACCATTAGGCTACCACACCGCCCCACAACAGAAAGAGGCGTTCTTTAAAAACAAATTTCCAGCCGTCCTTCCAGTGGTCCAGTCGTGTAAGACATCACTATTTGCTGTTCAGAGTTGCGTACCTTAAACATGAGAGGATCCGATTATGGTCGGTGCAAATTCCAGAATAATTCTGAAAATTCTTGCTTTCTCAACACTAACACCGTTCGCATGGGTTTCTCTAAAGCGGCATTAAACCCAAGTCGCTAACAACTTCCAGAAACCGCAGCGGTACAATACATACCACATTCCTGTACAGCCTGCGATAAGTGACTCTGCTGGTCATCATCAGAGGTTATAAACAATACGTTAAATAATATTTGTACCTACGAATTACATTGGTATGTCGACATAATCGATGTCTTGAAATAACGTTTTTCCAAACCGCCCCCCCCCCCAATGGTTCGGTTCCTCCTTTCAAAGACACATATGTTATGTTCCTGAAGCAGGTTATTTTGACTCGCACAGAATATCATTATGGTCGGTGCCTAAATGTCTTGAGATTTTTCAGACCAGTGTTATATTCACGGGGAAATGAGGCGAAAAGCGAGGGGTGAAAATCACAGAGGCGCAAAGCATATTTTTCTTCTTTGTTAATGATCGAGTGTTATATCATACGTAAGCGATTTTTTATAAACGTGGTAGTATATATTTATAAATCTGCATATTGTTAAGTTGTTACATCAGAGGCGGGGCAAGAGTATTTAGTACGAGCTGGAAAACTATTACACAATGCTTTGCATAAGGATGCGTGGATACGTTACACGTCTTGATCCCTCACATTCACATCACCGTCATAAAGAACGTGTAAAGAAACATGTTCCAAACTGAGAACATTCTGATTAGATAACATTGAGGGGACACAATTATATTTTTCATTTGTCTGCATAATTTCATTTTTGAGTTTTATTTTTTTCTGAATACACGAGGGTCAAGACGTGAATGGACTCGTAATGAATAATAAAGATCGGTTGGTCATAATGGAGGACATTACTAAATGTATTTCCATGTGGAACGTGGTACAATGATCATCCTATCCAACACTGGTTGGCATGACCATATGTCGAGCTGGAACATCGCTGCATACCGTTAACCAACATGTACTCAGTCATGTTGTTGTTTAAGGTAAACTAGGCGGGTGTAATTAGAGAAACTATGTTAATGTTAGATCTGGAGGAGTTAAATGGAAATAGTTCAGGGCTGACAACGTGTTTGTAATACAAACCGTTGGAGGTGGGTGTTGTTTCTCTTATATCTGGAATGTGAGAATGAAAGATTAAAATTTCGTTTTTCTTCGTGACTCATAAGATGAAAACTAATTGTATTCTTCATGTAATCTGTGCACGCCACCGAAGACTCTTCCCACTCTTCTCCAAAAATATTTCTTATCAAACTGCAAGTCGTGTGCTGTGAAAACGGTCGTTAGCGTAGATAAGTTATGATGTTTTAATTACATTATACAAAATGTGTCTTTTCTCGTCGATTTCGAATAAGTCTTCTTTCTTATCTAACTTTGTTTACGGATTTCTTTCAAAGCCGTTGGATTGGCGGTTGAACTGTGTCATTTTAATTATTTTATTTTAATTATGTTATTTAAATGCAATCAATGTCGGAAATTAAGAAAAAACCAGAAAGTTGTTATTAAATTGAAAAATTCAAGGGTTCACCCGCTTCTTGTATAACTAACTTTGATGTGTTTTTATCATGTCATTAGTGAATGTCTTCAACAAAGACAGCTTATCGGGTACTATTTGATCCAATAGCACCGAATAGGATACCCATCCTTGTGGTTGAGACGGATGTTGTGCTGTCCATATCTCATTTCCTTGTCTATCAGTGCTAATAATATACAATACACTTGTTGCATATCTTCCCTGCGTCAGTTACCCCGTTTTATAAAATGTCAAATGCAGGTATTTTCAAACAACCCTCTATGATGGCAACTAAATCATGATCCTCGTTATATTTCTGACCACTCAATTGTATTTTGTATATTTGAAAACTAGCGTAAGTCACTAGAGGCTGGGTCCCTATCCATAAAGCGTCCGTAGCGTTGCGACCTATCGTAACTTTATACTTTACCATAGGCTTACGAATGGCTTAGAGCTACGAAGGTTTTGTGTATAGGGTCCCTGATCTGCTGTATAAAATGGGTAGAAGCTTGTGTCCGCATTCCCACATAACAGACGATGCAATGTGCTTGGTGCCACATGTTCATTGGAAGAGAACACCATTACAAAGTTTGCGAGACTCAGTAAGGTCATGTGTTATTCAACATGCACAGCTGTTCCCAATGTTATATATGAAATATATATTGGGTGTGTTTTGTGCTCTTGCTGTTCACAAAGTAAGCTGGGTATGGTTGCTTTAGCGTCTTGGAGTTGGTGACTTGACGTGTCTCCACTTCATGTATCGCTTGTTTACTGTTGGGATCCTTGTGTTGGAGACAGGTCTCACCCCCCGTCACTAGCCTCATCTTGTGGGTGGCGATTGTACCTGATTAACAGGGCGTTAGAAGCGTAACCCGCGAGACCTTCAAATATCCGATAGCATTCTAGGAAGAAATCGGACACAATCTTTTGACCGCCATGAAATATTTACAGCATTCCTCCATACAGCATATAATTGTGGCATGTTATGGGAAGCCTCATATAAACAGAGCACATTCGTTAGTCAGTAGTCTTTACTCAGTAGTCAGTTTATTCACGTTGATATTAAACGTTAGGGTACGACAGAGCCGAATTAATATATCAACACGTCAGTGGACTCGATCACGCCAAATTGTGAAAGATGACTCAACAAACACAAGTTAATATTGATGTGTGCAACATGCAACCATAACAACAATCTGGGTCTGCCAGGGTGAAGCCTCCCTTCCCTCGTACGTGACTAACACCATATAGACATGATAAATTCACTCGAGTATGGTATGCATGCACCTGTTCATAAAAGTTCTCTGTCAAAAATGATAAAGTGTATGCAAATACCGATTTGTGAATATTGATCATACGATACTGTTTAGTATGAAGTGTCACAAACATCAAGGCTGGTATATTTATTCAGAAAAAACCCGTTACCTTATATAAACGAACGATATGTATCACAATTGCGGTTAAGCGGCTGACTTTGTGTGCTGGCGATTAGGTGCCTGACTCTGAGGGTGTGGGTTCGAATCCCGGATGGGAGTCAACCCCAAAAGTACTAAATCTGTACTTTACTAAGAAAGTGTAATCCAAAATATAACGTATCTTATAAGTACTACGGGATATATTGATAAACAAGTCAAGTCAAGTCAAAAAGGTTTATTGCACCTTTTTTACTTTGATTTTGACTTGATAAACATAATGTCTCATTTCTGATACACTGCCATTTCTCGTTATTTCGATTCCCAAAGTACATAAACACGGGCTCCTTTCACGAAGCAACCTTTACTAAGGTTAACCTTAACTCCCATTCTTTAACACTGAACTAAAGTTACCTTAGTGACTTATGATCACCTTAGTGCTTTGTGAAAGGAGGCTCAGGACAATTATACGCTCAGATTAAACGATGGTACGCAGTGGAAAATACTGAAAGGTGCACCAAGATAACTTCATATGTCTGAAAGGCTAATTTTAATAAGCATGAAGCACTCAATAGAGAATGAAGCATATCGTGTGTCATATTGTCGAGTGGATATCACGGTGGATATCGACCCAGTCCTGCTGTCCAGGGGTTTATGTGACATCAGTTACTTAAAAGCACGTTGTAGCTTCTAATGTAGACGTTGTCTCCGGTCGTCCTGACAGCAGAGTGGGTATAACCTGTGACTATAGGTTAATGTAAGCATGTATCTGATAGCCGTTCCTTCTTACAAAACCTCATTATCCGTTGACAGAAGTGGAGCTGTTTAACAGGTAGAGGAATGCTTCAGACTGCAGCCGTGCGCATGATCACTTTTAAACATGTTCCCCGTGTGAAGAAGCAAAATCTGCGTTAAGGGTAAAAAGTCTCTCTCTAGTTACTCGTGTGCATAGACAAATCGTGAAGGTTACCCAATGTCAAGTGAATTCGTCGTGGATTTATTGGCATTCGTGTATTTTGTTGATTTGTTTGACATCTGGTTCTACATTCCCATTATTATTCATTATGAAAACAGTGGCACTGAACATGTGTTGCGGCCTGCTAGTCGGAGCGTGAAGTGTATGTCAATATCTAACCATTCATGTTTTGAATCAATAATAGTAAGATTTAGAATCCATATCGATTGCAATTCGTGATGGTATACACCGTTCAGTATTGTTAAAATACCTTTTGAATAATATATTTGACTAATGACGTATGTAATCTGTAATATGTAAAATATATGTTCATGTTTTTTTCTTTGTCAGGTAACCGACCTCGCGCGATGCATCGTTGTGAGCCACACCGCTGTCGATGGTGTTGACGTAGTGTGACGTAGCGGCCATGATGGCGGACCCCTCACATGGCTCCCCTCAACACAAGGCCTACAGTAACATGAGGTTTGGTCCGGGCCACAGGCAGGGCCCTTTTCCAGCATATGACATGAGAGTCGACGGCGGCACGGCTGTACGGAACACTGTCAAGAACATGGTCAGCAATCTAGAAAACGTCATCACGAACCTACACGGTATTGTGGGAGATTTACGAGTGCTCGTCCACCAGATTGATGTTGTGACCAACAAGATTGATGGGAAGTACGGTGTTTACTGGGAGAAGTCCGGTTTGAACCACGTCAGTAATACCCACGAGAAGGTATCCAAGGCGAAGGACATGGATTCATTTGGTGTGTGTAAATGGAAAATGTTGCGAGAAAAGTACGATTCCACTGAATTTTCTCCCGATATTGATTGGTCGTATTTAGGATTGGGCGAGTGCAATAAAAAGCCCGACACGAAAGGCGTAGTAGGCAGGAAACTTCATTCCAAGAAACTCCGACGAGTCAAACATATGGACACATCTGTGGACTCGTCGGGAGTGAGCACTGACTGTGACCTTGACAATGACGACTTCCGGTTACAATTTGGAAGTGATTTAGGATTGTTCAAATCCCCGAATGGAAAATTTGATCTCCATGATGAAATAAATTTTGATTGTTTGGAAATGGATGGCCATTCCAGTGACCTGGATTGTGACGTGAAGGCAAGTGTGAAGTCGAGGAACATCTCACTACCCGCGCCCGTGCCCCAGCACGCATACTGCAGGGATGTTACCGGTGGCTGCACAAAGGAAACTTACTGCGGAATGTATGAATCACTCATGGAATCAAAATTAGAAACGTTATCCAATTGTGACGCAAACAGTGAATTTTCGGAGGAACTAGAAGACGATTTACCGCCTGTAGTGGACGATGTACCTTCTGTGAAGTCCTTAGACTTTGAGGCGGAGTACAACCGCCATGTTAATCCTTGGACATCTTTCGGTTTGGTACACATCGACTCCACACAAGAGTCTGATGAAGTGCTGTCTGAAAGCGCATCAGACATTCTCAACGACAACTACATAGAAACCAGCTATATCAATCCTGGCTTTGATGACGTTCAACCACTGGTGCAGCAGACTATATGTTAGCTAACGCCTATGTTGTTTAGTCCATGGAATTAGGTTACTGTTGTTACTTTTATGCGGAGGTTTTTTTGGTGCAAGTCATTTATTAATACTCTTCATAGTCCTTGATCGTTTCACAAATTTCTTCATATACATGCATTGGTAACTCTCGAAAGAATGATATGACGAATGGAGGCAATGTATGGACTCCTTGAATAAATCTTAACAGTTTTGCTTCTTACTTCTTTGATAACACATAGGCTTCATTCTGACGTATAACGACAGTCCCATTGAATAACAAGACTTGACTGTCCGTCAAGACAGATTTCACTGGGCGCAAAAGGCAAATTGTACCCGTGAAGGTCAGGGTTAGAAGTGGTCTTCAGCAACCCGTGCATATTGTAGGAGGCAACACGTGTCATCTTGTTTGACACACGCCATCGTATCCCAATTGCACAAATCGATGCTCATGCTGTTGATGGGCTAGACGTTAAAGCGCTCGCTCTTCATGCCGCGGACCCGGGACCGATTCCCCACATGGGTGCAATACGTGAAGCCCATTTCTGGTGTCCCACGCCGTGATATTGATGGAAAAATGCTAAAAGTGCCGTAAAACCATACTTGGTTTACACATGCCATTGTATCCCAATTGCGTAGATCGATGCTCATGCGTTTGATTCATCAAACAAACAAACAAAGACACACACACACACACACACACAAAAAAAGCAAACTAGCGGTGAAAATGATATGAATGGATCGCTGAAAATCAGTGTTAAGGGTGCTCAAGCTATATTGCACTAGGTAGCATCAGCTATGCTTTTCTACAAGTACAGATACGCTCACTACTTTTCGGTACCCATTTCATCGGTCCTGTCAACGGTAGATTAGAAAGACTTCAGTTGGAGAAGATATGCTAGTGAGTGAATGGGTTTAGTTTTACGCCGCCTTTACCAATATTCCAGCAGTATCACGGCGGGGACACCAGAAATGGGCTTCACATATTGTACCCATGTGGGGAATCGAACCAGGGTCTTCGGCGTGACGAGCGAACGCGTTAACCAATTGCCCACCCCACCGCCCCCATATATGACAAGTAAGTGTGTTTAACTAATACGGCATCGAACAGGATGTCAGTTAAAGGGGCACTGATCCAGAGCAATTTCCGTGGACCGGTTGTTATTGTTTTTCTCCCGTGAGTACACGGATGATATCCCAGAATTCGTGACTGGTTTGTGACCTCTGCTGCGCTGAACAGCTTGATGTGGAGGATTTCCCTCCAAGTATTGCAAGTCACTTAATGGAAACAGCTGGCGTATGATGCCAACTAACCTGGACATATGATCAGGGCAAAGTGGGATTCAAACCCATGATCATAGGTTGGCCGCCTTCCACCAAGAAGTCTTAGGGATTCGACTACCCCAAGCATATTTTGGGAGTTACGATCATTTTAGCGTTAAGATCGCTTTGTTAAACGGTTTCCTGGTGGTCTAAGACACCCTCTACTGTTCAGTGATCTGTGACGCAGGAAAAGGTGTGAGTTCTTGACCATTTACATCTTTGCAGGGGGTGCAGATGGATGATTGGTGTCGATGTCAACATATTCGATAAGTCTGATGGGAATGCTGTTAGAGTAGCTTGACAAACACGTTACACAATTCACTCGCCAGTTCCGTCTTACAGTGTGTGCAGCTTGTATATTTTAAGGACGCTTCCTTCTATTTGTATTCCGGTGAACAAAGAACATCTGTCAAAGCCATGTCAGTGAAACGTCACGTCTCAAGATTATTTCACGGATACTGCGATGTGCTTTACCTGGCCTAGCCCACAATACATCATTGCAGTTTAACATATAGACCCCTCTCGGGTACAAAACATGCTCACTTCAAGACGGCCAGTCATTGTTTTATCCCATCTGTGCTGAGGTATGATGTTTCCTGGGGATCGAACCACCTTCCTCCACTGGAGGATTATCCACTAAACCGTGGAGGCAGTCTAAAAGTAATGGATGTTTTCTCGTACCACTGAATTGTCTTTGGAAATGAACAAGAATATAGTGAAACCTTGTGAATGCAGACAATGAAATTTATGTTGACAAATCACGAGCTGGTTAACAAGTCACGAGCAGTGAGTAATGTCCATTGGATATGGTAAGACCTTTCTGACATTGGCTAGCAGGGAAAAAATGGATTATTCCATTCACGTGTCATGATTTTCGAGCAAACACTCCGATTTCATGCATGCTTTCTTAGGGACCGTTCATAATTTATGGCTAGGGGGGGTGATGATGATTTTTATGGAGAAGCATGTACAATGTGAATGATCCCTCCTAAGATTTATGTACAAACTAAGTGATCCCCCCTGCATGCCATGTACAAAATCAATGACCCCCCTCCCCTTCCCACAATTTCTAAGCATAATTTTAAACATACTTTTATGTACAAAATTGCTAACCCCCCCTAGTATGTGTGTACAAAATTGATGACCCCCTAGCTCCCCAGAACAAAATGGGTGACCCCCCTTAAAATCATCATCACCACACACACACACACCCCACCCCCTAGCCATAAATTATGAACGGTCCCTTACTGACATGTACGTAGTCATGATCGGGGTAAAACTCACTTTACAGTGAAACGTGCCAGTGTGTTTCTGTACATTTCAGTGATAAAAACCAGAATGAAACTTGTTCTGTTATTATACTTCCACTTACGGCGTCTGTGGGGGCGGTGGGGTAGCCTGGTGGTTAAAGTGTTCGCTCGTCATGTTGAAGACCCGGGTTCAAATGCCCACATGGGTACGAAGTGTGAAGACCATGTCTGGTGTCCCCCGCCGTGATATTGCTGGAATATTGCTAAAAGCGGTGTAAAACTAAACTAAACTCACTCACTATCGCACCTGTCACGTCAGAAACGGTTACGTGCAAAGAGCATGTTGGAACAACACAGCATTGTGGCACAAGCTCTTCACATTTCACTCAGCAATTAGAAGATAACGACAGGTGGTTGAAAACAGCGAAAACTAGTACACAAGACCGTTTCTTCAGAACTACTGCAAAACTGTCAAGAGCAGCAAACGTTTGGCAAACGTTATGTTTTCGGATACATGAATAGTCACTTTGGACATCCTTGACAGGCGTATATGGAATGATGACAGAACAAAGGTTTTTGGAGTGGCTCAGTAATGGTGTAATGTGTGATTACTGTGACTGGTCACATGTTACCAGGTACTATCGTGACAACATCCTGCGCCGACATGGGATCGTTTTCTGTTTCAGGATGACAACGCAAAACACATTGTTACAAAGTACCTCCATCAGGAGGACATAACCACTCAGTACTCAGTCCAGACTTGTCACCTATCGGCCATGTCTGGAATATCCGTGGACGTCGCTATACCGTCAACCACCTATCACGCTCACCGAACTCCACCCTGCCTTACAGGAAGAATGGGATGGCATGATTTGGTTGGTTGTTGTTTCACGCCGCACTCAACAATATTCCAGTTATATGGCGGCTGTATGTAAATAATCGAGTCTGGACCAGACAATCTAGTGGTCAACAGCATGAGCATCGATCTACGAAAATGGGATACAATGAGATGTGTCAACCATGTCAGAGAGCCTGATCACCCGATCTTACGACAAGCATGGGTTGCTGAAGATCAATTCTATTGTGGCATGAACCAAGTTGACACTGGACGTTTGATTATGAATGTGCCAGGTGGAATCCGGGATAGTCTTGAGAACAGGAGGATTCACGCGAAATTGATTAGTTTAACTTTTCATGGTAAAAGACGTGAAGGACAGTTGGGCCCTTTGACAATCATCTAACGAAATCTATGGCCATCTGACCTTCAGTGTCTAATGCAAATTTCAGTCAGATGTCCCTGCTACACTATACTAGGCACATAAAGAAACTGTGCATACAAAAATTTAAAATCTAAATTTATCAAACCTGTGTAGACACATAAGGATTTAAACTCAGAGATTAGTGACATGTATCCAACATGCATGCACGTGCCACGTTCCGTGACGTCAGTGGGTTCGTCCTTGAGACATGCAATGCGTTGTTGCATGTGCATTCCGGGAAAGAGAAACAGAGCAAATGAATGCCACACAATACTGTCACTTTGGAAAGCTCAACCCCTGCCCTTGCGATCGTTCAAAAAATTAAACGGCTATTGAAACGAAGCCCACCACTCCCTTTAAGACTAAGTCCAAAACGTTTCCATGGAAACTGAGAAAAATAAAAATGAAAAAATCTGTAAATAGCAGAAGGCACCACCTTAGGTTCTGTTTGACATATCTATCAATTTTTGTTGAAAAATATTAAAACAGTTTTTGAGTTATGCTCCGGAAACAAAAAGATTAAGGACTGGACGGACAGACGAGGCATTGACTATATCCCCCCGCATTACATGCCGGGGGGATAAAAAATGAAACATCGTATGAACAAGAAAATATTTTATTATGGAGATCAGTTACTCACCATTCACACACACAACAAACCTTATACCAATACACAAGGACATAATGATGTCTGTTTCAATGCACTACTTCACCCTGGTAATGATGGTAATACATACACACTGAAGCAGCTATGATACCCTCCATCTATGGTGCACATGAATGTATACAACAATTGACATAACAAATCACAAAGGAAGATATTTCTTATATTGAGCTTCAGACCTTCTCAAAGCAAAGGATCATGAGGACCTTCAAAGATGTTTTCAGATTTTAATATTAAACATGACATTATTTGCATCTTTAAAGTTAGGAATGTAATTCTTTTTCACTTTTTTATCAGATGTTTATCTGATCGAGCACACTGGGAGTCACAGGATTCCTGGGAGTAATCAGAGGGTTAATCATACTAACGGAACCTCTGACAAAGGAAGAGAAAAATACCATCCTACAAAGATCTCAGTGTACATAACACTCCTTCTATAGTCTTGAGTAAGTATGAGCTTCTATATACCAAAGACAATTTTTTAGTCTGTCACATTTCTCATAAATTGTGTGCCTGCAGCCCTGACAATGTGTGTTACAATAAGATCCCCCGTCCCCTACTCCCCATCTGATACTGATGGATCAGCTAGTTATGAATCTGTTGTCCCTCCGGCATGGATGCCAGTCAACAAAGACCAGCTTATTTTCACACCAGGGCCCAGTTTCACAAAGCTTTCATAGCGCTATGACTGTCTCAAGTCTATGTTACAGTATAGGAGTTACGACAGTCTTAACGCTAAGATAGCTTAGTGAAACGGGACCAGTTGAATAGGTGTACAATTAGGTTTCCTTCCGTGCTGGCAATTTGTGGCCTCTCTCTGAGAGTGTGGGTTTGAATCCTCAACCGAAATAAGACATGTACCATAATTAGTACTTTACAATGAAAGAGTAATAAAACAATTAACATGTTATGTAGGTGTACCAAATGACATCAAACAAACCTTAATAAATAAGTCAACAGGATTCACACAGCACCATCATTATGGACAACACTGGAACACAATGTACCCAATAATCTATTACCAGTAACTGGCTCACATGTAATACCCACTAAATACAACATCAACAAGGACTCAAAGTGCCTCAATTATAATTGTTCACAAGCCCTAAAGACCTAAACAAAGCAAGTTTTCCACAGGATCAGAGCCTCTTCTCTCATTGGGACTTTTATCTCATTTAGTTTGAATTGTTTATATCTATCAACATAGCTTTAGTCTTATAAAGTGAAAATATATTAAATGAAAGTGAACTGGACAGCTGAAAGGTTTACCAAATGTCATTACATTGTCCATGACTTGTACATGTTCATGGAGGGGATGCAGAGGTGCCATCTGATCAAGATTCATTTCATATTTCACTTGTAACATAAAATCAACAGTTGATAATGAAATGTTTCAATATCATCATTGAAAGATAGGAACAGTATATCAGCTGATACTTGGTCACTCGCTATCAGCTAACAATAATTATGTCCATCCACCTGTCATCAAACCCAAGTCATTCCATGTGTTATCCATAAGTGAGCACAGCATTCAAAGCAGAACCTCTTAGGTATTGCCACACACGTAAAGAATGTAAAGCTACCGATGAACACAATCATTCATTTCTACATGAAGTCAATACAACATTCACCCTGCAACAATTTAAGGCACAAGGGGTAGAATTACTTACAGCCACAATAAATAGATCATCAGTTGCTCTCAAATCTTATAAACATCACTTAGTCTTTAGTTTTCACACACTGGGGGGAACCACAGACAAATTGGCAGACCGAGACTGGACTTGCTGGACTACTCTGTGCTCTTTTTGTTTTTTTTCTATTTTTCTAACACTACACAAACCCAGCAGTTATCAAAATATCAAACATGGCAAAAGCTACAATGTCAATACTTGTCCATGTTCTTCTTTCAAGGGGGCGGTGGGGTAGTCTAGTGGTTAAAGCGTTGGCTCGTCACGCCGAAGACCCGGGTTTCGAATCCCTACATGGGTACTATGAGTGAAGCCCATTTCTGGTGTCCCCCGCCATGATGTTGCTGGAATATTGCTAAAAGCGGGCGTAAAACCAAACTCAGTCAGTCAGTCAGTCTTCTTTCAAGGTGGTACAATTTTCAACAGATAATCAGTATTTTACAGAATTACCCTTAAACAATTTCACACAGGGCAAAAGTACAATCAGAGCTACAGATAAGTTTATGGGTCATTGAGTAATGTACTCGCTTGTGTTCATCTCAATAGGGTATACTAATTTTCCTTTGAGTAACCAAACAAATTGTACCCACCTTACTCAAACACCATTGAGTATTTTGCTATTTTCCATTAATAGTAAAAATATAATAAAGTATGAAACTTTGTTTTTATTTATATTTGATCTGTAATATGAGAAGCAATAAGAAAGACTGCAAGTTGCCAAGTTCACCTGCTGAAATAGAACTTCTCAATATTCCTTAGTTATTTGGTGTTATTTTTTTCTTACGCACGTAAGATCAAATTTATTGAGTATTTACACAACTTCAGGCATACGTGTACGCAACAGACTTAATAGGACTTGAGTTTTCACATAAATATTTGTGTAATTTATGTAGATATGCAGCTTATCTGTACCTCTGACAATGTCTCTAGACTCTATAGGGAGTGTAGTCCCTCTAAGCTCTAAAAAATGTTTCACAACCAAAGATCAATGTTTTCGACTTCAATCACTAGATTCTCACGCAAAAAGTGAAGTGATGACACAAAGTAACATACATACTGTCCACTATGTGCAAACTCTTTAAAATCTTTGATAAAATGACGAAACTTAAAGCCATACATGATTCCAATATTTACAGAATGACTTCTAAACTTTCACAACATCACGTACAAGATGGACACTATAGGACATGTCAAACTCATTTGGATATACATTTGGTGAAAAACTACTAGTTCTGGACTTTAACTAGTTTTTACTTATTGACCAGTAGGTAAGCAAAGTAACATTTCAACTGGAATTACAATTGAATTTTAAAAAAAATGGTCCAAGTTTTGGTTGTTGTGAAAACAACCAAATAATCCCTCCCATTAGCTAACTACCCGGCTCTGAAAGCTGTGTCACCACATGAAGACTTGCCACAAGTTACTGCACAAATGTAGCTGTTTCTACAGCGAAACAAACAGGTGAAACAGATATCACCTATTCCAATGTTATTTAGTAAGCAGTATCATAAAGTTTACAGTTGAACAGTGCACAGGTGCCCTGTCGGATTATTCATACACATGAGTGTGCACACTTACACAATAATTACTAACAAACCAAAACATAAGTATGAGAATACTTTACGCAAACCGAAAACACAGAAATATTTTCCAGTGTGCTTTTGTTGCCACAGACACATTAAGTTTCAAATGAAATTGCAAACAAAATCAAAGATTCATCGAGGGTGCTTAGAAACCGATATTTGCCCAAGTCTGCAGCAAATGACAGTTAAAAAATTCCAATTTGACGTTAAACATTCCCAATTCCTCAAATTCTAGAAAAATAATAACATTAAGATAATCCAATTTTGAACATCACAACAAGGTTTTCCCTGTTTGCAAGCCAAAGGCACTTAGTTTGAATCATTTCAGCTATTTGAAATACAAGGTTTTGTAACATAAATGATGAGAAAATAGAATTTCCTCTGCAATACCAAGCAACTGGCAGATAAAAGAAATCCTAAAACTAAAATAGCATACAAGCCAAGCCAAAAACAATGACAGTCATTTGGTCAAAATATCACATGTAAAACAGAGTTCAACAGAAACAACCAACAACTCTGGCTAAAGACAACTCCAGGAAGCTGACGGCACATCAAGGACAACCCGCAGCTAGTGCTCACGAAATACTTAAAACAGGTTCACAGTCTGTTCATATTGAAAACCCTCAACAACTGTTAGATAACTCTGTTTAAATTACAGTATGTGTTTATGAGTAGGAGTTAGTTTAACACCTGAAACGAAATACCACACTGTCCGAATTTCATACCACACTTGATGAAACAGAACTCTGTGATCCGTGAAGGATCATAGAGTGTTTCATTTCAGCTCAATCGACAAGTGACTTGGTGAAACCCACATGACTTTGAATGGGTCTCACTGATGAAGGATTGGGTGCATTTGGGATCTGAAGTATATCCCGACAGCAAAGGGAGGGGTACCCAGTAGTCCCTTATACCACGGAGCCACCCATGCTACTTATGCTTTATAGCATATGGTTTGCGGTGGTTTGGGCGTATTGAGTTTTCAGCCGACTAGATTTCAATCAGGAGTCCAGGCGGTGGGCTAGCCTAGTGGTTAAAGTTTTCGCTCATCATCCCGAAAACCCGGGTTTAATTCCCCACATGGGTTAAATGTGTGAAGTCTCTTTCTGGTGTCTCCCTGCTGTAATATTGCTGGAATATTGCTAAAAGCAGCATAAAACTACACTCACTCACTCAAGCAGTAGTTTGCTGAACTTAATAAAAATCAACCTGTTATTATTTGTAACTGTGAATTCAAAATCATGTAATTTGTTTTCATCTATAACCATGAATATTTAGACACCAATGGATTCTTTAAACCTGTGGTTTCCTAATACAATAAACCCACATCAATGTTCCTGTAAGGAAGTCACATTATCACAGGTTTTTGTTAACCTTATGACAGAATGGCCCTGTCACAGACCTGGTCACTTTGCTACACCGTGTCCTTGATGCTGTCACACTTGACTGCAATTGACTTCAGTCAGAAAAAGAAGAGAGTTGTGTTTGCAATAATCCGACGAACTCTTCATAACTCCTGCTTGGGCTTGACCGCACACAACTCAACACGTCCCAGCATGCTCTTGAACTTTCCATCCACCTGAGAGACTGAAATGGCAACAACATTATACTCAGTGGTGGATTTTAACTGTAAGATTGTCTATTATGAGAAAAGTACAAGTCTTGCTCTTGCTGTCCATGGTACCATTGTAATAGTAACTGTACTGTCCAGCAAAACAATGCTTCATATTAAAAGTATCTTTAGTATCAAGGTCTCCAGGTGTATTCATAGCAATTGGAACCATGCCAACCTACTCTTGTCAGTGAGTGAGTGAGTTTAGTTTTACGCCACACTCAGCAATATTCCAGCTATATGGCAGCGGTCTGTAAACAATCGAGTCTGGACCAGACAATCCAGTGATCAATAGCATGAGCATCAATCTATGCAATTGGGATACAATGTCATGTGTGAACCAAGTCAGCCAGCATGACCACCAGATACCGCTAGTCGCCTCTTACGACAAGGATGGGTTAGTGAAGATCAATTCTAACCTGGTTCTTCACGTGTTTCTTGTCAGTGAGGGACACTATGTACCGGTATGTGATCTAGACTACCATTTACTCGAGACTGAGTGAGTTAGATTGTTGTGTGCTGGTGATTTGATGCCTCACTTTGAGAGTGTAGGTTCAAATCCGTATGGAGGCTCAGCCACAAAAAGGAACAGAATGTGTTCTTTACAAAGAAATATAACATTTGGACTTAATCATATATAAGTGGACTTACCTGAGCTAGAGGACTCAACCATGACATACTCTTCAGGGTTTAGAGGCGAATGGTCTGAGCCCTGTCAGACAGAGTACACAAAAGATTTTTAACATAGGATAACTTATTTTTCCTATTAATAATCTATTGAGTCAGATATAATGAACTGCTTTTATAGTGGAGAAGCAACGGTAACTGTTGGGAACAATACTGCAAACAAGTGACTCCATTACAAAAATATAAAAAATAAAACATCATATGCGATCACAGTCACAAAAATTCAGTGCTGTTTCCAATTTAATCATAAATCAATACTCCTTTTCATCTGAAAACTTGTTTTCAAATATAGAGAAATTATTTACCTTGACCTCTGCCCCCACAGCCTGAACTCCTCCCACCATCATTCTAAACGACTGGAAAAACAGATAGGAGGAGCTTCCAGGTCTCTCTACAGAACACGAGAACTTGGTGTTGTCAGCATTCATGCTTAGCCCCATCAGCCAGGACTTGAAAACAAAACACACCACAGTGAAGTCTTCATGGAGAAAATAATCTTTGTGTTTCATGTTGCCAAGCTAATCTTTATCGGGTATTTGGTCACACAGCAGTGGCGGATCCAGAAGGGGGGGTTCAGGGGGTTCAAAACCACCCCCAACCCCTTTGAAAATGACTAAAGACCACATTGAAGTTAATGTTTTACAATGGCAGAGCAGGGTTAATTGCTTGAGGATATTTGAGCTTCTTTTTTCACTACTCATCTCTCATGATTTAAGTGAGTGAGTGAGGTAAAATTAAGTTACATCGGCAAAATTTCAGCCATATTGTGACTACTCATTATTTGAAACTCAAGATCATTGTACATCATAATTACATCAATTTTAGCAATAAATAGTACCAATACCTCTTTTGTGCCACCTTGAGCTTGATATGTAAAGTTACAGGAGAAATTTATGCCATCCTGAAAAAGGAATATTTTGTCTATTAAACAGGATATATTCAAAAGGGATTTTTTAAACAAAATGTAATTCTTATGATAAAATTGATATTTTATACTCATTCCTGACTAATGCCTATTTGCTTTCTCATTCCTCTTTTCCGAACGGTCAAGTGGAAACTTGAATCCCTTCAATTCCCTTGAAGCGAACATACCATCACTCACCCTGAGTTACCTCCCTTTTTCCCGCCAAAAGAGGCACGTGACCACCTCATGCCTAGTCCTCACTCTCTCCGACTATTGCCCCACGCAAGTTTACAGGGAAACCCGAGTGGTGACAGGCGACGGTTGGGAGGGCTTCATCTCATGAGTCAGGATGAGTATAAAATACCAATTTTATCATAAAAATTACATATTTTTCCTTATCCTGACTCATGGTTATTTGCTTACTGAATCCGACGGAATCGGTGGTGGGTCAGCCACCTATGTGATTCCCTACATAATTGTATTCATGTCAGCGTTCGCTTAATATATATACCGCCTAGGAATTTTTTCTTCTGCGGCTAACTTACATTTTTCTTGATGCTCATCGGGGGACCACCTTCATATACATATATATCAGAAGTAAACTCTAGGTTTTGTGGATTTAGTATAACTAGACACCTAGTTGTCTAGATATCTGGAATGACCCAATGTGTTACGGTAAGGACTACTACTGAAACTGGTACCGCAACCCATCTGTTAAGGCAAGAACTTTACCAAAACTGAGTCTATGTATCACTCACGCGCTGACAAACGGCCCGAACTGATGTATCCCTGGCAAGTCTTTTGGCGAGATGTCTCTTAGATAGTGGTTAGCGAAGACAGTGTCTGACTTTCAAAAGCAGCCTTCCATTATAGATGATATCTAGCAGTTTCCATGTAGGGCCAGTGTCGAGGCCAATGCTCTAGCTTCATGTGGGTTTGATGCTCTTGGAGGCTCTAACCCTGCTGCTTGGTAGGCTCTTAGGATCACTGCTCTGATCCAAAAGGAGACTGTGGTACGGGAGACTTCTACAGTCATAGCGGGTGATAGTGGGATGAATACACACTTGAACGTCCTTCTCGTAACAGATCTCTGCAAGTAGATCTTCAGAGCTCTGACCGGGCATAAGGACAGATCTTGTATGTCATCTGGACCAAAGATAGTTGATAGTACCAGAATGTGGAACTGACGATCAGGTTGGCCTAGTAGCTGGTTCTTGGCGATGAAGTCCCATCTAAGGCCTACATGGACTGCCGCCCTTTCTCCTGTGTCGAATCAACACAAATGTTGTCTGCGTCAGCGGCTCATATACATCACTGATGAGGTGCTGCAATACTATGTTGAGATCCCATGCTGGTGCTCTGAACTTCTGTTGTTGATTTTCTAACTTGAAAGATCTCAGCAGGGCCACTAGGCACCTTGGTCAGTGACCGAGCTGATTGCCGCTAGGTAGGTTGACAATATAGAACCCTTTAGATGTCTAGTAGACCTCAAATGACACAGGTAGTCTGCTACTTGTAGGTGTGTCGCTTTTATGGCTGTGAACCCCTGCCAAACAGCATAATGGCCAAAGCTTCTCCACTTGTCATCATACAAGTTACATGTAGATCTACGTAAAGCCAAAGTCACTGCCTTGGCTGCTCTAGTACGTGATATGCTCCATACATGTAACTGGAACACTTCTGGGTTGCTGTGTTGCTGCTTGGTGTGAGGGTGGACGAGTAGGTTCGGTCAGTCTGGAAGTCGTAGTTCTGGTTCGCCGTGTTCATCTATGAGGTCTGGGAGTCATAGTCTTGCTGGCCAGTAAGGTGTGACCAAAGTCAGTTGTAGGACCATCGTCTGACTGATGGTAGCACTTGTGGTAGCAGGATCGGTGGGGGGAAGGTGTAAGCGTTCAGTCCTTCCCAGGATATGGTTAGGGCGTCGACAGCCCATGCCAGCAGGTCTGGCACTGGCGAGACGAATATTGTCACCTGATGTTTGAAATGGGGCGCAAACAGGTTGATGAGAGGATGGCCAAGTTCTGCTGTTACCCACTAGAAGGTCTCTGGATGTAACTTCCACTCTGTGGGAGACGGACGTACTGGTCTGGATAGAGCGTCTGCTAAGACGTTCTTTGCCCCTGGGATGTGGCAGGCCCTCATCCTCAGGTTACTGTCGTCTGCGGTGTCAAACAGCTGGAACGTTAGATGAAGCAGTGGCGCTGATCTCGTTGACCCCTGCAGATTGATGTAGAAGGCCAACGTCCAGATGTCCTTGTGTATCATCACGACCTGATCTCTTAACTGCGCTGCTCTGTGTTGCACTGCTTCTATTACTGCTTTCACTTCTAGCTTGTTGATGTGCAGACCCCTTTCTGTTTGTGACCACTGCCCTGCTGTAATCTTGTCGTTGAAATGTGCCACCATCCGTGGAGGGTTGCATCCACATAGAGATGAAGGTCTTAAGCTGGCTCTCTCAAACAGGTTCTGCTGCAAACATGTGATCTTACTGTCCACCAAAGCAGGAACTTCTTTAGATGTTGTGGGATGGTGAACCTTGGGACATCGTCTGGATGAGCTATCAGAAAGTGCTGTAGCGGCCGCAGCTGCAATCTTCCTCTGCATGTGAGAGCTTGAGCCGACGTCAATAGACCCAAGAGTTGCTGCCACATTCTTAAGTCCAGTGGAGAGTTGAGGGCATCTGGTATGCATGACTGGATGCTGTGCCATCGGTCGTCTGGAACCAGGCTCCAACTCTGACTTCTGAAGATTCACCAGCCAGCCCAGATGTGTCAGCAGGTTGATCGTAAAATGCAACTGTTGTCTGAGTTGATCTGCTTCTTGATGCGCCTGGATGCCTTCCTCTAGGTAGATAGAAGGCACTGCGTAGACCCCTCTGATGGAGATATGCAATGATCGGTTTGGTGATTTGCATAAATAACCACAGGGCCTGACGAAATTGACAAGGGCAGGACCTTCCACTGGTAGTGTTGCCCTTCAAACAGGAACCGTAGGTACTTCCGTGATTCTGGATGCATCGGGATGTGTAAGTAAGCGTCTTGCAGATCTATGCTGGCCATGAAGTCGTTGGGTCGGATGAGATGTCTCAGCTGAGGTAGATGCAGTATCTTGAACTTCTCTGGTCTCAACAGGTAATCTCTGTTGAAGCTCTTCATATTGAAGATGAGTCAAAACTTCTCTTTGGAGTTCTTTTTGGGTACTAGGAAAATTGGAGAGTAATCTCCGGGCGTGTGATGATTGACGACCTCTACAACTTCCTTCGATACTAACATGTCGATGGCCTCGGTCAGCTTGTCTTGCTGTAACTGTGGATACCGGAAGACCAAAGGTTGGCGGCGTCCACTGGCGGCGTCCACTGCAACTGGATATTGTAGCCCTCTTGAAGAACTTCTATGACGTAGTGGTTTTGTAGTACTCGCCAATTTTTCCAGTAGAGACCCAGACGTCCACCCACGGTTGACGGTTGTACAGGAACGGCTGGAGGTGGAAGGGACCAGTAGTTCCAAACCTGCACTTCAATAATAGGACCGTCCACAGCCAGAGTAGCTTCTGGTGTTACTGGAACTACGGAAAGACCCTGAGTTGCCGCTGCGTGTAGCTGGGAACTTCTTCTCCTTGGACCACTGTATGCCAGAGAAGTGGGACCATAGTTGACTGCGCTGACTTGATTGACAAACCATGTTGTTCATCATCTAGACAGTCTTGATCCTTGGACATCAAGTCCTTGGAGTCTTGTGATACTTTACGGGATAGCTGCCGGATACCGCCATCAAACAGTGTAGGCGGTGCCCAAGGCTTCCGTAGTAGCGGCTTAGTGTAGACATCTGGCCATGTACCGGAACTCAGCAACCCCTGGCATCGTAGTAAGGCCAAGTGATCGGAGATAAACTCCTGGGTGCCGTTGTACAAAACAACCTTAGCGCTAAGGTTACCTTAAGTCTATGTTAAGGTATGGGAGTTACGGTCACCTTACCGCAAAGATCGCTTTGTACAACGGCACCCTGGTCTTTGCGCTGGATAACTAACGTAGACTTGGGATGCTTGAAGCCACACAGCAGCGCCTCGTTGATGGCCCTGGACCTCGCTAACCAGAAGAACACACTCCAGGTTGTCGTATCAAGCTTCTTATCTTCTACCTTGTAGCTGCAAGACTTCAAGTCTGAGGCCAGGTAGAAGGCTTCGTCTATCTCAGACGCCTTGGCAAAGTGGTCCATGTTGAGATGCCGGAACCACCGCACTGAACGGTGGAGTGTGCTGCCCCTGCGTCTTCGAAGCCTTGTTAATGGCTGCTTTCAGGTTGTCTGCTACATGGGTGATGGGCTTCATTGGCGGGAGGGTAATCGAGTTGAAGTCGTCTTCCTGCATACAATATGTCTCGGACGGATTGGAGCATCTGGACGGGGACGAAATCGGGAGGCCGTCAGCCACCCAAGACAGCACCTCAGCATCAGTGAAGATGGATGCCCCTCATCAGCTACCAGACCCTGATGTGTATCGTCTGCATTGACTGCTGTCGATGTGGTAAAGGACCAGTCTGCGTTGTCTGTCGCCGTCTCGCCCACTGCAACGCTGCCTTCATCAGCTTTCCGCTTCTTCTCCAGTTCCAATCTCTTCTCCATGTCCTGGATCACCCTACGGGTGATGGTGGCAGCAAAGTCTTCTGTGTTGAAGACCTCTGCGTTGGTCGACAGACGCTGCAGCAGGATGACTGCTACGAACTTATCTGTACACATCGCCGACAGGGTATTGTTCTCAAATGCTAACGGGTTCTCAGCTGACTTCTGCTGCCTCAGGATCTGCAACGGCCTCGGTAGACTGCTAGCAGGGAGGTGCGCCGACCCCGAAGATCTAACAGCATCACTGCAAGGGGTAGACTGCGACGACGACATCGGTGACGTCATACTTCTGATCTGAGCTGACAGGTTCTCAACACTGGAAGATCTCTGTGATGCCACCAGGAAGACCTCAGGGGACCAGGAAAGCTGGAGACATCTGCT